TACTAGTCAAAGAAATTGAAGGACCAATTGCTGACAGCAATCTGGTCCCATTTGTTATGAAATAAGTACCAATGGGTGCTGCTGCTAATGACCACGAGGCCAGAAGCAACAAAATGGGCATAACTCAATTGGTTAGGTTCTTCGTGGTGACCATCTAGCTTAATTCATTAACTTAACATGGGTGCTCGCATTTTATTATATGTATTCTAGGATCAAAGGCACTATTGTTTCAGTGATAGGCTATAGTCCCTTAACAGCAAGGCGTCTAGGGTGATTTCGTAAACCTCGAAATCTGCATCTTAGTCTTTCGAAGGTGCTTCCTAGTATTATCTAGTTGTGTTTTGCATGATTTTATTATCTAGAAGATATTAATAGGTATATATGACAAGAATTTTTTTACATTCTCCCTTTTAATATAAATAGAAATCATAAATTTATACTAGTAAAAATTTTTATATAAGTTAGCATTTTCCAAATCATTTCACAAAGGTTTTCAAATTCATTTTCAACCGCCACTCGATCCTAGCAACACATGCAAAATTAGATTGCTCAAGTGGCACTAGATGATCGATATGCAAACAACTTTGCCTCTCTTGATAATACGGCCATCTATCCTAAACTCGGTCGACAGTGGCAGAGCCAGGATTTCACGGCTGGGTATTCCATATACGAAAATTTTTCCAAGCAAAGGTGCAATAGTAATAAGCAAATTAATGTACAAGTTCTGAACATAGTGGTATAGTGCCATTATCTCTGAATCTAAAGAATGGATCTGACTGCTATGTGCTCATCTTGCTTGTTGCTTCAACCAACCGGAGGGGCCGAGGAGGAGGTCCGGAGTCGAGAGTCCAGACCGCCGGCGGGGTGGTCATCGCTGCCGCTAGGCACAGAGTTGGGGCTCTCGGTGTGCAGCCGTGCAGGGCCAAGGGGGTGAGGCTGCTGGAGGAGGATCGAGCACTGAGGGGTACTGGGGGAGGCTACTGCACCGCCGACCACCGCTTTTGTGTCCTTCCGCACCTCTAGGGCTCCACATTCCTGGCCGATGCGTGGGCAAGAGACGAGAGACGGAGCAAGTACCGAGGTAGGTAGGGAGCAACAAGCGTTATCTGTTTTGGCCTTTATGGGTTGCTACTACTGGTTTCTATTGGGCTTATGGGCTATATTTGCAACACCTAACAAACTACACATGCTATACCATTGTACAAATATTTATGTTTGTTATAAAAAATCATGGGTATTCTGTGGAATACAGGGGAATACCACTGGCGCTGCCCATGCTGGTCAAGCACTTCTCTGCTCAACCTTTGACTGGTGAAATGAAATGCCCTACAAAGAAACCTTTCCCTTACGCATTCCATTTCATCTCCTCCTATGGTGATGCCACACAAGCATCCAACCTCCATCAAGCCACTTGTAATCAACATAAGTCTTCACATGGCTTGATCTTACATGAATGATATGATCTAGTTTGTAGCATCCCATGGCCCTATTGGTTCATCGATCGCAGCTTTGCTTGCTATTCACCGTTGTACTCGGTCCATCGGCGCCAAGCCCTTCGGTCTAGCTTCACCGCCTCGACGGTCCGTTGCTCCCGGTCCTCTAGTTTGCCCTTCACACTAGCAACCCGGTCCTTCATAGCTAAGCCTCGCCTCTTGATCTTCTCCACCTAGCCACATGACACTATGTTATGTCTCATATGCAATGAGCTCCTTCATCTCACTAGTTGAGCACTTGCATCATGCACAAGCCAACACTCTTCATGGCTCAATGTCTTGCTCACACTAGTGTTACTGTGGACTAAACACCTGTTCATCTCACACAAAACCATTAGTCCACCTAAGACTGTTACTCAATTACCAAAACCAAACTAGGGCCTTTAAATAAGCAATTGATTGGTTTGGGGCATGCAACTTAAGATTAGGGAAAGTAGGTTAATCTAAAATTAGCTTAATGGAGAAGATAAAATACTTATGAGGATTTGGGATTTAGAAAGAAAGTCAATTTGGGAAATTTTCAATTAATGGTAATTGAAAAAATCTAGAAGAAATTCCATACGAGGCCTTGTTTAGATGCATCCCAAATTCCAAGTTTTTTCACTCTCTCTCCATCACATCAATTTTTAGCCACTTGCATGGAGTATTAAATGTAGGTAAAAAAAATAACTAATTACACAGTTTAGTTGGAAATCACGAGATGAATCTTTTGAGCCTAGTTGGTCCACGATTGAACAATATTTGTCAAATAAGACGAAAGTGGTACTATTCATCGGGTTGAAATTTTTTCGCAATCTAAACGAGGCCCGAATTTGAAATTTACGTATTTTATAAATTTGAAGCATATGATCCAATTTTTTTAGAATATGGTATGAGTACTTCGATCAAACTTTTGGGCTAAATAATAAAGAAGCTAGACAATATGCAGATCAGGGGAGAATGTCCCTAACTTTATAGGCGTGCTAAGTATTCCTAATTGCACTTTACATATTCTAGGCTCCTAGCTCACTGCATATAATGAGAAATAACACCAATAATTATATATTTGCATGAATATTTCCCGTAATTTCACCATCATAGCATACATGAATGGGTGAGGAAGCCCATTTTGAGTGCCTAATATTATTTCCACATAAGGAAAATGATCTTAAGAGAAAACATTCCTTGAAGCTTGGAGCAGGAATAGTGTCACACACTAAATCAAACATTCGTTTGATGAATGCTCATGTGAAGCATGAAGCAGAGCATATGCTAGATATTTTTGAAAAAAGACAAGAGGAATAACTTGAAGTTATTAACCAGAAGCTGTTTTTACTAGTAGTAAACTAAATACCATATACCATTTTACTAAAATCTATAGGGGTGCCTGGGTTCTAGTTTAGTGTATCCTCTTCAAATAAAATAAGAAAAAACTCCTCCAATCTTATGAAGAGAACACCTCATGATGAAGGTCAAGCACCCCATGAAGATGAAACCTAACACACTATGCGTGCAAATCATTAGTGTTGGGAATGCAAAATAATAAATTATTTTTTATTTGAGAAATGACAAAGATACACAATATTGGAAGAAAATAATAGTTGTCAACAACTCAACCTATATAATTGCAAATGTTTCTTTTATGAGAATCCGGATCCGGAAAACAAAACCCGGGGCAAAATCGCTTGTACCAATTATATTGGGTCAATGAAGAAAGTAGTTAAGGTTGAATCTCCTACTAAGAATAATTAAATGTTCTACTATATCTCTAACAATTGGAATGAACGAATATGGAATATTTAGTTAATTAGTAGATTATGAAAATCATATAGTTCTTAAAGAATAGAAATGGCAACTTATAGAAATTAAATCTCATGCCAAGTATTAGGAAGTCTAAGGTAGAATATATTTTTGAATGAATATTAAAATCTCGTGAAGAGCTTGTCCTAGAAGGAATAAAGTCCACGAATGAATTGATAGTGAGAATAAAATTGTCTATGTATAGAAAAAGGAATTGTGTATCACATAATAGTCTCTTATGTAGCAGGGAATATATATCATAGAAGAGAAATATTATTTATTGAGAATGAGAACATTCTTAAAGGAATTAATCCATGAAGAATTTACTAGTCAAATCTTGAAAAAACCCATTAATCACAGAAGTGAACATAGACTCCATAGAAAGCAAATGAGGAATCACCATATAAAACACTCCAAAAGTGTATATTATAAAGCTAGTAATGGAGTGGTGATATCCTCAAAATACCATAGTAGCTATAAGAATATTAGTGATATTGGCAATTGAATTATCCTCTAAATACCAAATGCGAGGCTGGATTTACTATTTAGTAGTATAATCAAATCCTGAAGATTTGTAGAACATATAATTTAAAAATCCATTAAGAAAGAGTTACAAGTATTCATACAACTCTAGTATGAGATTTGATATTTAATACTGTAACTCATTTACCCGTATAATCCTTTGAAAGGTTTGGTTCCCTAGAAGGATAAATTTTGTTTGTATTGCACAAAGGATTTGGTTCACTAGAAGGATAAATTTTGTTTGTATTGCACAATTAATAAAAGGTCATTTATGCATGAAGTATACTACTCTTATTTACTCATACCATAATTCAGAGAAGAATTGCAAGCCAAGTCTTCGAAGGACATACTATACTATTTTGGAACTGTGTACCATTAGTAATGCACACATATATTCAAAATGTTGATATTTTGAACGATGAAATTCAAAGGATAGCTTTATAATGGATATCATATTTGGCTGAATCTACCTTGAAGGTAAACCACTAATATTACAAAGGTCAACAAAGACTGTACTTGTTAAAACATTGAAGTTTATGCATAGATCATGAAGATCGACATCTATTCATGAAGAATAGAAGATCCTGAAGAATACATGACCAAGAAGGTTAAGTGTTGTACTCTTTTTTCCTATGTGAGTTTTTACGTGAAGGTTTCTCACATAAGGTTTTTTTAATGAGGCAACATATGTAATTCAACTTGTGAATGTGATGTACTCTTTTCTCCAAGAAATATTTTTTATCACTGGGTTTTCGAATAGAGTTTTTAATGAAACATGTGCACGTAGTAATTGCCCAAGGAAAGTGTTATAAAATATAGGGTCTTTAACCCTGAAGAAAAGGAGAAGGAATTCTAATCCTAGTCCGTTATCAATATGGGTTGTTACCAAACTCTTAGTACTTGTTCGGACTAATATATATGTGAGAGCTCTACATCGTAATCATCATTATTCTTAGAATAGAGAATAGTTTCCTTACTTTGTGTTTTTGTGTTCTACTTGTATCTACTATGTTGATCGTGGGAGACAGAGAGAAAAAGACAGCCACTGGCAACGTGTTTTAGGAGTTTATATATGGTAGCAATACGTACCGCTGCACAGAGCACAATAACGTCAAAGCAGAGTCCAACGCTCCCGCAGCACCACCATTCCCCTCTCACTTCACTAATCGTCACTTAAGAGAAGCGCTGCATCTGGCCTGGCCTGGCATGGCCTTCGCTGACACAGCAGCAAGGAAGCTTCTGCATGGAGGCTCCGGCGGCACCATCGCGCGAGGCGTCGCCGAAGCCGGCGGCATCAGTTTCTTCGTTGCCATCTTTACCCCCTTCTTCATCGCTCTCAAGGGCGCCGCCCACATGCTCGTCCTGTTTATAGAGGCTCTCTGGTGGTGGCTTCATACCTTCGTCAGCAGTGCCGCGGGCTCCTTCAACCAAACCTTTGACCACCAGTTCGCCGCTCTGGCGTGCGCAGCGCACAAAATTCCCCAGAATCTAGAGGAGCTTCGGCGGTGGCTCCAGGCAGCCACCACCGTAGCGCTCCCTTTCGTGATCGGTGTCATCGCGGTCCTCCTCTTCGTGGTGCTCACCTGGTTCTGCGGCTCGATCCTGCGCCGCGGTGCGTCGTCACCGTGGGGGTCTTCAAGGAGCTTGTGTACACCTTCTACTACTTCGGGCACCTCCTGTACTGCGTCGCCGAGGCAGTCGCCCGGGCGCTCTCCCGACTCCTGCCTCCTGCCTCCCTACGCATAGTGCCTACAGTGCTGAGCCGTCGTCACCATGAACGCTCCCTGAGCCACCCGCCGGCATGCTGACATCGCGCGCGGCCTTCGTTGCTGCTCCGGCGCTCTACTTCCAGATCATGCACGCCGGTGGTCTCGTCGTAGCCGCCGCAGTCTTCTGTACGAGAACCGTCGCCTCGCTCATCGCTGCGCCGGTCGCTGCTCTTCTGCTGGCGCTTAATCAGGTATGATGCATGCATGCTGTTACCATAGTAAACTATCGAGATGTACGAGATCGTTCGAGTACGAGGAGTACGTATGCGACAAGATCTTTTGTTTCTCCTCTAAATTTGTATGTGCGTTGTTGGGTTTGTAACCATGATTGAGTACCTGTAATAAAAATAATGTAATTCTCTTTTGCACTGATTTATAGTACATGGGAAAAAATTAACCTTGACATGGTGCATGCTGGGCTAGTTTCTTGCATAACGTTGTCGCTTCCAACGTCTTGTGCATGTTTAACTTGGATTAAAACTCCATTTTTCACACGCTTCCATGTTCCAAGAGGACGAATCCACAAAATTTTACTCCCTCTAATTTTAAACATTTAAGATAAGTTAGATAGTTCATGGAAACTAATTAGTTTGTCATAAATGCTAAGTATACATTCAAAAATTGAGGGAGTAACTAGCTGCGCGTCTAGCGGTCTAACCTAACCTCAAATCCAAAGCAAATGAAATGGGGGTGTCTCTGGTTGATTGACCCATTTCCTTGACCGCTGGTTTCTGGAGTGCCTGGTTCAAACTAGAGGTGCGACTTGGAGCCGTGCCGTGTTGGCACGGCCTGACCCTCTCATACATACTTCGTGTCGTTTCGGGTCGTGGCTTCTAGGCACGCGAGGCACATCGGGCGTGCCATACCGACACGACAAGTCTTTGCTTCGGCACAAGCACAACCCATGGCATGCAGCTCGTCTTCATGCCGTGCCGGTCTAAGAATGACCCTCAGAATATCTTTACTTATTTTCTTCATCTGCTCAGTTGTATATATCATTTTCATGAAAATTTCAATGATTTTCGTAATTCATTAAAAAATTAGAGGAGACAACGAAGCAATTGCATTGTAACGTAGTAGACATGCTTATGTGCCATTTTCGTGTTGTGCCAGCCCAATCACGGCTCTAAATCCGTGTGAGGTCGCCCCACCCATCGTGCGGGGATCATAGGCAAGGCATGGCCCTCATGTTTGTGCCTTGCCAGCACAGCCCAAAATATTTCGTGCCGAGCTTTAGGCCGTGCCAAAAGATATTACCATGATCTGCCCTCAAATAGCACAGCCCAAGTCAGGGCTCTAGTTCAAACGTCCCTGCTGGACCGAACGGGGATGTTTAAAAGCCTCGCTGCACAAGATATTTAAGGGAGAGATGCCGGTATTAAATTAGCAAGAAAAAGTTTCGAGGAAAATTAGGACAAACATCAAATTTATATGCGGATCGTACAAAATTCCCACTTTTTTTCTTAAGAAACATTGGAATGGGTTACTTACAAGCTAAGCTTACAGTGTTGCAAACCAGACCCAGGGCCACGCACTATATTCGATTCCTTTCAAAAGAGAAAAGCAACCACTCTAGGGATCCATGCACAATGGCTTTATCTCAGTCTGTGACAATTGTGACCCTTAGAAGCAACTGTATTAATAAAGCAAGGGAAAACAGGAACAGCAAAAAGATTAAAAAAGCTAGTCCAAGCATAAAGCGCTCCATGCTAGCGTTGCACCGAAACACTGGCAAGCATTCACGCGCACGAATCTACTGCCACCATTTGACATGCTAAAGCTTCCTTTGAGCCTAAGGAAAATCTTTTCCCTTGGGTGCTATCGTTACGCGTGTGGTTCTGAGTGTGAAGTTTGCACCTCAGTCCTCAGCCTTCCTGGGCAGACACAATCCAAGGGCTCATTTTGGTGCTTGAGATTGGTTCAGACTAGGGGTTGGTTCTGCGTTCGTAAGCCATATTTTATAGTTTCACGAAGAAAGCCATATGGATAGGACGAGGTCTATTTTTAGCCTTCAAACTGTCACATGTCTAGTTTCCAACCTTGAACACCAAAACCGGACAAACATTGCCCTTCAATTTTTGCAAACCGGAAAAAATACCCGGGATACAAAATCCTGTTTTAGTTCTAGCATGTCAGTGGTTTTGCCGTGTGGACATTGATGTGGCCCTCACATGACAGTAAGGCCCACCGTAAGCCTAGTGTGGATATGTTCTTCTAACTTCTATCTCTTCATCTTCTCCTCGTGTGAGGATAGGTGCATGGGACATGTCACAAGAAGGGAGGGGTAAACTAGCAATACTACAGATAGGTCATCACTGCCAGTTTGTAACCCCCTTTACCGCCAGTTATCGCCGTCGTTTGTGAAAGTCATTGGTGATAACCTCGGTTATCACCGCCGGTGATAAACGTCATCACCGACGGCTCGGCGATGATGATGTTACCATCACTGCCACGTCAGCGTTCGATCCAGTGGCGACACGGTGAAGACCCCCACCGATCGGGCGTATGATCCGGCGGTGATGACGGAGACATCAATGTCAGTGTGGCATACGATCCGGCGGTGATGATGGTGACATCAACATTGGTCTAGCATACGATCCGGTGGTGATGATGGTGACATCAACGTCGGTCTGGCATATGATCCAGCGATTACGATGGAGACATCAACGTCGGCCTGGCATATGATCCAGCGGTTAGGTAGTTACCATCACTGACGGCCGGCGTTTGATCTGGCGGTGATACAGTGAACACCATAGCTGGTCCGGTGTACGATCCGACGGTGATTGAGCAGACATCACGTCGCCCTTGGAGTTTCATTCGGCACTGATGTCATGTCCATCACCATCGGTGCGGCGTTTTGTTCGCCACCATCGGTGCGGCGTTTTTTCTGGCGATGTTGCCTTGATCATCACTGCCGGTTTTACCATATCACCAACGATTTGGCTAGGCTGGCAGTGATACTGCTTTTTCAAAATATAATTTTAATATATCATAATAATAATAATAATACCATTAGTATTTAGATTATAATGCATCAAAATATACCTCACCTCCTGAAAGCACTAATTTAGTTTTAGTAATTGAGTACCAACCATGTGGATAAATGCTTTCATTGAGTATGTTTGGCTAGAGTCCGCTTAATGGTGATGAACAAGGCATAGGAGGTGATTGTTGGTATTTCTTATGATCAAGTAGAGGATTCTATGAGCGCACAGAATATACCGTTGTAGCACGTACTTCACCCAGGAGTATTCCAAGGTATCGTTATTTATTTTATCCCAATGGAAAGCGGTAGCTAGGAATGATAATAAATGAGTGACCTTAATGTTCACCACAACTTAGTACCAAAAAGTGTAGAGGGGTAATCGAATATTGGATAGGAAGGGTGAAGAAACAAGTTCGAAGCAGCTCAAGGATAAGTATAGTAAGGTATTGCTAGGTGGGAGGACATCGAGAGAGAGTATAGGTTCCTATGATTCTAACTCTACTCCAATGGCTCTATCTTAATCACACAATTGTAATACATAGATTGAGTCCACACAATGGGTATACTAGGCGGTAGGTGAGACAATAGGAGACAAAACTCCTACCTGAAGCAGCTACCTTGTTACGAGAGTGGATGACAATCCCGCAAGCAAATAAGAGTAAAGCTTAACTAACCAAAAGAACTACGAACACTTACTTAGCGAGAATCTCTATTGAGGTACAAGCATATGTTCATCGAGGTACAAGTTGGGGAGACACCGGCAAGCCCAGTGCTTCCCCAAGCTCTTCCTCACATCTCTCCCTAGCAACTCTACTAGCTAGTTAGGGCCTAAGCCCTTGGAGTGATGCTCAAATGTGGTGTAGCTCTCTTCCTTGATGTGTTATTGTGAGAGGAGCTCTCCCCCTCTATTTATACAAGCTAGAGGTTGGTTTCGGGAGAGATACACATGGAAACCTTGCAGACCGATCTTTCCTCTAATTAATGAACCACCATGGTGAAGGTGGGTCCGAGCCGCACTAGGCCTGGCCCGCCTCGCCACCACCTTCACGTGGTTGGTTCCTAGGGTGGGTCTGGGCCTTACGTGTGTCGGTGGTTGGCCCAGATTCTTCCAAAGAATTGGCCTTTCTCCATTTCTTGGCCTGAGTTTGCATTGCGCTTTGCCTGATTGCGCCTTTTGACTTTCTTTTCCATTGTATTCGTGTGTATGTCCCGCAAAATATGTAAACACCAAAACTTATGGAACTTTATTAGCTATAAGCCCTAATTCTAAGTTTGGTGCTTGTATGAGTCAATTTGATGAAAAAGTTGGCGGTTAGTAGATGGAGTTAAGGACCGCCAACAAGCTCCCCCACACTTACCCCTTTGCTCATCCTCGAGCAAGGCTTAAAGAAAACATGAGCATAACATCCTAAGATACATGGCTTACAAGAAAGTTATTCCAACACATTCTTTACACAAGTGGGATTTGTGGTGTTGGCTAACATGTTTCCTTGAGTTGTTGAGAAGCGGAACAGTTCTCGAAACAAAGTCATCTTCCCAATTTCACATCTTAGCAACTTGGAGTTTTTGAAAGTTTTTTCTCAAGAAAAGCATAGTTCATTTTAATCCTCAAATGGCACTCTCAAATCACTCAATGGTTTATAATTTCTCACCACGGCATAGCAATGTTTTGCCTTCTTTTGTTTTCTCCTACTTTTTAAAAGGCATATGTGGAGCTTTATGTAGGGATAAACAAGATAGCATACTTGTATTGCATATGTTGTAAAGTCAAATCGAGGATCCAAGGAGAGAAGTGCCATACTCTTAGATCAAGACGTGCGTGTGTGTGGAAATGATATGAGTATACTCCTTTTGTAGATATGATCTCTATATATAACTTATTATTTTGAGACATGGCTATCTTTCTTTCTTTCTCTTTTTTTACATGAGCCTTGATGTGCTCATCATTTTTTTCAATACTTTGGACCTTCATGTGTACATATTTTTTTCTT